CGGGCCCTGGAGAGCTCGTGGACGACGACTCGGATTTTCTGGTTTGGGGTGGTGTGTCTGATGGTTTATGTTGAAGGAAGGGTAGGCGTTATGGAAAGAGGGTAGCAGGACAAGACTAGGGAGCTGTAAAATCTGCTCAGAGATTACAGCGGATCAAACCAGTTTTCAACTGGTTGGCCGAGCACCTGCGGACGGGCCTGCATTCCTGTCCCAGCTCTGCCCCGGGGGGTGGCAGCCCTCAAGCTCCCCTGTGCTCCCACTGCCACCTCTCTGGGGAGGTGAGCGGCGGACGGTGGGTCTGTTATGGCCGAGACAGTGCCAAGGGCAGCGATCAGATCGAGGCCACGGCAGGTTCAGTCCTTCCATCCACCTGCCCTCGGTCCTCGAAGATCTGCGGAGACTCAGCCCGACTGAGATGAAATAACACGGTGGCAGCAGTGGGGGTGGCACACTCGAATGCTGGGGTCACAGGGAGAGCCCCCACCCCTCCTCCTCCTCAGCCACCTGAGGTCCTGAGGTTTGCCCTCCTGGTCCCTCCACTGTCCCTGGGGGAAGCCCCGGCCTCCACACCCTACGGTGACACATGCCCTCTTACACCCTCACGGATGCTGCACACGTGCCCCTGCAGGTCACGTGGAGCCCCCACACTCCTCTGTCGGCCGTTCAGTATGGGCCTCTTGCTTTGAGGCTCCTCAAGCACCCAAACCCTCCGGGCTTGACACTAACCATCTTCACTTGGAACGCCACACAGGCATTTTATCCTGTGTGTACACACACACACACACACACACACACACACACCCTCCCCTCCTCACAATGCCCAGAGCGCGGGCCTCCAGGCCCTCCCCTGCCCGTGGGCCCTCAGTCCGCAGCCTGAGGTGCCCACGGGCCGTCTGTCCGCAGCCCCCGGACGAGTACTGTCTTCTGTGGGTCACCGCGGACCTGATCTCCTTCACCCTCATCGTGGGCATCTTCGTGCTGCAGAAGTGAGTAGGCTCTGACCCCTGCCTCGGCCCTCCCCGCCCCAAGGCAGACCTGGCTCCCCCCCCCCAGGCGCCCTTCCTCCTGAGCTCTGGGCCAGGAGAAGGCCTGGCTGACCAGACAGCCCATGCTGGGAGAAGACTCCCCGCGGCCCCCAGCCTGCCCCCCTCTGCCAGGGCAGGCAGCTGGGAGCCCAGAGCCAACCTCTGCGCAGGTTTGCTGGTGGAGGCGGGTTCCGCTCCTCCCCGGCCTGTCTCCCCACCTGGTGAACACGGCCTGGTTCCCCCCAGCACTCGGCACACCTGTGCCATGCCGGCTACCTCCCCACCCTCTGACAGCAGCTGGGGGCAGTGGGGAGGGGCAGTGGAGAGGGGCAGTGGGGAGGTGGGCGAGGCCAGGGGAGGGCTGAGGGCCAGGCTGGGGTCCCAGCTCGGCATGAACCAACGGGAAGGGTTTTATTCTTGACTGACGTTCTCTCTCTGTCCCATTCTGCTCTGACCCGGCGCATGTCCCTCCTCTCTCCCACCCTCCCCTCTCCGCTGCACTCTGGCATCTCACAGCTATCACTTGATCAGGTAATTCTGTGTGGTCTTCCTCCTCCTGGCGCTTTCTCCCTCCTCACCGCCCCTCTCTCCAGTTCCTCTGGACCTGCCCGAGCTGTGCCTGGGTCGCTGCCTCGCCGATAGCCTCCTTCCTCCCCCAGAACCCTCCTCTCCTGACATCCTCCTCTCTCTCCCGCCCTGCCCGCCTCATGAGCCCTCTGCTCTTCCCTCCCGCTGCTTCTGCCGTCCGGGAGTCAGGGTTTCCTTATCGATTGCTGACCTGGCATCTTCCTCTGCAAAGGGCTCTGCCTGCTCCCCCCCACTTGGTGTCCCCGCAGGGCCTGCCTGCTGCCCAACGCACACCCCACCAAGTTCTGTCTCTCCCCTCCCATCTGTCGCCTTTCTGCTCTCTGGGTTTGCCTCTCCCATCCCTCATTCTCTCTTTGCCTTTCTCTGTGTCTCTCGCCTCTTTTTTTCCCTTTCCTTCTCTGGCTCGCCCCATACACTCTCCCACTTCCCCCGGGAGGGCCCCACAGCGGGTGAGCTTCCCGTCTTAGATGTGCATGGCTGAGAAACCCTGGCCTGAGAAACCTCTGGGGTTAAGGTACATTTCCAAGAGGAGACTTGGTCCCGAAGACCCAAGTCCTTGTCAAGCACGTTGAGGCCTCCTGGGTCAGACGGCTTCATGAGCAGCTTCTGGGAGGAACTGCTCCCTGGCTGGGGGTCCTGAGCCAGCCAAGGTCCTTTCACCCAGGCCATCCTCCTCCTCCTCGCAGTCAGCAGACGTACAGGGGTGCTGGCTGGCGCTGCTGGGCCTGCAGTGGGGGTCGGTGTCCCTCAGAGGCTGGCCCTGCACGACATACAGCCAGGGCAGTGCCACTCTCTTCCTGGCACCACCCTGACGGAGGTGGGGGCCCCGGGGAGGATCACTTCCTCGTTCTCCCATGCACTCCCTCAGGTACTTAGGGCCCCACCACACACACACACACACACACACAGCGGCACTGAGGTTAGTGCCAGGGACACAGGGATAAATAGGACCCAACTGCTGTCCTCAAGGACACGGAGGGTGCTCACCCAGCCAGGGTGCAGGCTGCCTTCCCCTCTGCTTCCTGCTTGGCCCCCGTGTCCGCTCTGTTCACCCGCCCCTCCGCCTGTCCATCTGCCTGTCCATTCCAGCCGTGCTGACCCATCTGGAAACAACCGATTTCTTGCGGAGTCTGAGCTCCCTTCATCCACCCCTCGGGGCTCCGTGCCCTGGGGGCTGGGTTGTTTCCAAGCTGACCCCCGCTTCTCTTGGTGGGAGTGAAAGTGGGGCGGGGGGGGGGGGGACAGTGAATCCTTCTGTCCAGGTTGCAGAGTCTCAAGGTCAGAGGCCAGGGTTTGGGGGTGGCTGAGGCCTCCAACGGGAAAAGCCGTGCCTGGCTTTGCGTGGCCCCTGTGTGCCCTGGGCAGCCCGGCCTCAGCCATCAGAGGGACTGGCGCTCCAGCCGGGCTCCCCGCTGGGGACTATGTGCCCCCCTCTTCCAGGGCGGTTGGAGAGAGAGTAGCACAGACACCCAACCCAAGTCGCTCTAGGTCCTTGGCTCGGAGTCTGTGAAGACCAGTTCTGAGCAAATCCCCTGCATCTCCCCTCCTCTCTCTGCTCTCCCCTCCTGGGGTTCCCTCTGGCTTCCCTCAGCTTAGTCATAAGGTGGAGCTGTAGGAGACATCAGCTGGGACTCCCCAAGATTAGTGTGTACCCCAGGGTAGGTCATCAGAGTCATGTCTGGTAAGCTCTCCCCCACCCCAATTGTATCACGTCCAAAGGAACCAGGTGAACAGCTGGGGGCACCTGAGACAGAATGAACCAACCCAGAGCGTCCCGGGCCCAGGGGCTGAGCTGGGTCTGGAGTGAGAGGACGGCAGGAGAGGCCTGGCTGGGAGTCCGGAGACTCCGATGGGACCTCGCTGGGCCCCATCTGGACAGTCAGACGCGAGTCCTGCTGGTCTCTCAGGCCCAATCCACGGAGGCTCTGGGAGAGGGCAGGACCCCTGCTCCGGGACGGGCGGGGAAGGGCCTGACCCACCGGGTCGTCTCTGCAGGTGGCGCCTGGGGGGCATCCGCAGCTACAACCCCGAGCAGATCATGCTGAACGCGGCAGTGCACCGGACCAGCCGGGACGTCAGCATCATGAAGGAGAAGCTCATCTTCTCAGGTGGGCGGCCCCGAGGCAGGCACCGGGCCCGTTCCCCACCCCACCCGTCACACAGCACAGACAGACAGGGGCACTCATCCAGAGGCACACACATGCAGACACACACACGCCTCCACATACAGCCACGTCAGCATCATGGATGGTGGGCAAGTGACGTGCAGGAGTGCGGTGGAGGGGAAGGGTCTGCTTTGATGGCCTATCCCCCTTTGCCTGGCTCCTACAGGGACCCCCCAAAACTGTCCTCATCCCTGCGGCTGCCAGCCGGCTGACACTCCAGTCTGATGGAGGAGGCAGCTGTCTAAGCAAGAACATGGGAAACTGGGTGGCACTGGAGCTCTAACAGATGAGGCGCTGAACCCAAGTGGGGTACAGAGGCGAGTGGTCAGAGCTCCCTCGGGGGTGAGGACGGTTTGGAACCCACGTTGCAAGGAAGTGACATAGCTGATCCGGAAGGATGGATGGGGGCGGGGTGGCTGGAAGATGGGTTTGCGCTCAACTCAGCAGGGAGGTGCAGAGAGCAGGAAGGACAGGCCAGGCTGGAGCAGCGCTCAGAGGGAGTGAGGGGGCACTGCTTCCAGGGCACTGGCGACCAAATACCGCTCCATACGGCTGGCACGGGGGGGCCGCTGGCTGGCTCAGCCCAGGTGGCGTGGTCAGGAGCTTGGGCCTCGTTGTGGAGGCAGAGGAGGGTTGTGGGAAGGTTTGAATTTGGCCGTTTTTGCAGCAGAGCTGTAACAAAGCACCAAGACGTGGGAGGCTTAAACAACAGACATTTATTGTCTCTCAATTCTGGAGCCGAGGAGTCCGAAGTCCAGGTGTCGGCAGGGCTGCGAGGGAAGGGTCTGGCCCAGCCCTCCCCCCCGTGGCTTGTAGATGGCCATCCGCCTGTCCGCATGGCATCCTCCCGGCATGCGCCTTGGTAACTCAGGAGAGAGATGGGTATGGGAACAGAAAGAAAAGGAGAAATCTATAGAGTATGTAGGAGCCTGGTGGATCTGGATTCAAATCCCAACTCTGTCCCCAGCTAGCTGTGTGCACCGGAGCACACTGTCTAACCCAGGGTCGGCAAACTCACTTGTCAACAGAGCCAAACATCAGCAGTACAACGATTGAAATTTCTTTGGAGAGCCACATTTCTTAAACTTCTTCTAACGCCACTTCTTCAAAATAGACTCACCCAGGACGTGGTATTTTGTGGAAGAGCCACACTCAAGGGGCCGAAAAGCAGTATGTGGCTCGCGAGCCACAGTGTGCCGATCTTGGGTCTAACCTCCCTCAGCATCAGACTCCTTGTCTGTAGGATAGGCTAGTAACCCCCAAAGTTTACGTGTGAGGGTGACGGCCACGCCGGTCCAGAGGGGCACTCAGTAAACGTGCATGAATAAGCGAGAGCCATGGGGGTGGCTGTGGTTGGCTGGCTCCAAGGATCAAGGATCATGTGACCATCTCACTATTCCCTCCTTGACTATTCCTTTCTCTAACAGACGAATGCCAGGCACTGTTTTGGGTGCTTAGGATACACAGATCCTTGCTTACCTTTGCTCAAAAAAATCTCCTGGGAGCCTGCCCTGAGCACCAAGATGGGTTGGAGGGCCCCCTGGCGTCCCCCAGCCCTCTGGCCACGCTGGAGAGCTCCCTCCCGGAGGAAGGGGCCAGTCTGGGGCACCTGGGACCCTCAGGCCCCTGCACTGTGCCTAGCCTCCAGTCAGAGGGGTGAGAAGCATGAACGGAAGGCAGGAGGCCAGCCCCTAGCCCTAGGCCTGGCAGGTTCTGCCCAGACCCCCACCCCCACCCCCCATAGTGCCAAAGCCGTTCACTGAGCACCTCTGCAGCAGGCTCTGAGGGGAGTCCACCACAGTGCTCACTCCAGGCTGAGAGGTCATCTCCAGAGACCCCCAACTCCACCCAGGAACCCTGAGTCCCCTCAGGGGGGGCTCAGCTCCACTCCGCAGACCTTCCCCTGGGCCTCTGCTGTGTCCAGCTCTGTGCCAGGCGCTGGGGACAAGAGGCCCAGGCAGAACCCCTGTCCCTGAAGTGCTCCAGCTGGTGCGGCCACAGGCAGTGGCAGTTCCGGCTGTGATGGGGGGGAGGTTAGCGGGGGGACGGGTTAGCAGGGGGCGGTGGCTATAGCAGGTCCCATCCCTGCCAGAAGAAGGGGGTCAGGGAGGCTTTCGGGAGGCTGCAATAGCACAGGTGAGAGGAATGAGCCAGACTTTTTAAAAAGGTGTTGATGGGAAGTCACTCCCAGGAGAGGGGCCCGTTTGTGCGAAGGCCCTGAGGAGAGCAGCAGATGGTGCCAAGCCCAGGGGGATGGGGCTGGTTTTCGGTGGCTAGAAGGAAGAGTTCCAGGGGAGAGTGGACACCCGGGGTGGGGGGAGGAGGGGTTGGCTACCAATCCTAACACCAAACCTGAACCCAGTGGTCTCATCAGCACCTGAGTGCCTAGCCAGGGGTCGCTGCGGGCCACCCTTCCCCCGCGATCTCCTCGCCATCCTCCCTGACCCTTCTCTCGCCCCCTCTGGCCCAACAGAGATCAGCGATGGCATGGAGGTCTCCGATGAGCTCTCCGTGTGCTCCGACAACAGCTATGACGCATATGCCAACAGCGCCACCCCCCCAGGGGAGCCCCGAGGGACAGGCAGCCATACCAAGCCGCTCACAGACCGGAGTGGGCGTTAGCTGAAGCCCCGTCTCCCAGGCCGCACCGGACGGAGAGACCGGGGAGCCCAGAAGAGCAGGCAGGAGCCTGTGTGGACTGGGGGCGCTCCGGGAGCTGGCACCAAGGCCACCTCGTTGGTCCAGCCCCTGGTCCGCCATGGCCTCTCTTAGGGGGTAGGGGCTCCCCTCTCCCCTCAGGCCCAGCTGGGCCGGGACTCCAGCCTCTCCGATGCCCCTGCAGGCTTGCAGGGTCCTTCTCTGGAAAGCGTGGGGCCTGGTCCTCCCCTGACACCCTCCCTTGAATCCTGGACGCTTGGATGGGCCACCGGGCCATGCCCTGTCCCCTGGAGGATGTGGGACCACCCTCCTGTTTGGGCTGTGAACCAGCCGATTTCTCTGTCCCTCCTGCCTCGAGGACCTGGGGCTGGGTCGTCCCTCCCCCCCCCCCCCAGCTGCTCTGCTCTTCACATCCGTCTCAAAGCACAAGGAGGCTCGCTCAGCAGGGAAGCCTGCAGCCAGGGGTGGAGATACTCTTCCGACCAGCCTCCCCGCGCCCCCCACCCCCCCGCCACCGGCCCTGCCCCAGGGGAGGGCCCAAGCCATGTCTGTAGGAGCAGCTGGAAGTGCCCAGAAGAGCAGGCTCAGGGCTGCTCAGCCCCCTGCCCGTGTGTGCAACAGGGCTCCAGGGCAGAGTGACCAGGAGGCCCAGGAGAGCGAGACCGGCCCCACCTCAGTGCCCTCAGGGCAGGGCCCCTGGGAAGAGGGTTCTCTGGGCACGGTCAGGGGCAGGCAGGTGGCCACGGAGGCCTACAGAGGAAGGGGCCTGAGGGGCCTCAGCCGGTGGTTAAAGCTGCCGTGTGGACATGTCATTTCTGAACTGCTGGGGGGAGGATGGGGACCGAGTTCGGGATTCAGTCTTGGCCCCATGCTGTGAGGAGGAGCCATTCTCAGAAACGAGCAGGAGGGCGGCAGGCTGGCAGGTTCCGTCACAGCCCAGGGCTGGGGCCAATCTTGGAGAGAGAAGTGACCATCCAGGCCTCACAGAACAAGTGGCACCAGGATCCCGCCCAGGCACTCATGCCTCTGTAACCAGCCAGGGACAGCACGGAAGAGGGGAGGGCTCCTGGGCCTGATGTCAGGGTGAGCAAAGGGACCAGGAGGTCCCCGCACAGCCCTGGGGAGGCGTTCTGAGCTCCCCGGCCTGTGGAGTGAGGCCTCCAGCCAGCAGACGCCTCTCCACCACGGCAGAAGTTTGGCTTGGACTTTCTCCAGGATTTGGACCTGACCAGAGCCAGCCCACTTCACCCCTGGTACATTGGGGTGCCTGGGCTGAGAGCCCCGATATCGTCCCCAGATGTCCCTTTCTGTCACTCAGTCCTCGGGCCTCCGCCCTCCATGAAGGAGTCAGCAGAGGAGTCGAGGCAGGGCTGTAGCTCCCATCCTTGTCCTAAGCGTTTGTGTGATCTCGGGTGTGTCCTAAGGGGGAAAGGGAGAAGCTGAACTCTAGCACCAGCCTGCACTCAATAAACATGGTGCTTTCTGGAAGCCGAGGGATGTGTCTCTTCTCCAGACAGGGGTCTTCTGGGCAGAATTCTTGGGGTTGGAGTAATTCTGCCACCTTCCTGGAGGAAAGTAGGGAAACGCCTCCCAAATGTTGGAACCCAGGCTGTCCCTCACCCCCACACACATACACATTGACTTCTAAGACTGCCTCTCAAGAGCTGTGAAGTGCTCACCCCTTCTTTCCCCCACGGAGCATCTGCCAAGTGCTTCCCTTCCGGTGCAGAGGTCAGCTCCCGCCTCTCCTTGGGCACAGGGCTCACGAGTGAAACCTGGAACTGCTGGGTCAGGAGTGGGTCACTGTCCTACACAAAACGCCCAGTAACCTGCTCTCCAGCCGCCGGCCGGCCCAACAGGAAAGTGGACTTGACCTTTCCTGCCAGCTCCTCCCTGTCCAGGCAGTGCCCCTGACCAGACCTGGGCAACTTGAGACATCCTGGAGTTCCCAGGAGACGGTAGAGCAGACTCGTTCTCCGCGGAAGAGCCAGAGTCCCTCTCTCAACAGAGCCCTACACCATACCCTCCCTGCCCCACCCCCTCGCACCCCCAATGCAGACGGTCCAACTGCCTCCTCTCAGCCCAAGCAATGAAGAGAGGATGGAAGCCAGCCTCTCCGTGGGCAGATGGCTGGGCTTGCCTCCAACCTTACTTGAGCCCACAGCCCATGGCCAACCCGGGCCCTATGCCTTGACCTGAGGAGTTACCAACTTCCTGATGTCCTCCCTTTGTCTGCAGATGACAGCCTGACAGCCTGCCCACTCCAAGAGGCCTTCCCTGCCAGCCCCATAGACCCACTCCATCCTTCCTCCCCTGGACCTCAGTGGGTGGGACCTCCTCAAGGTGGAGCCTACTCTCTACTTCCTCCAGGTCCTCCTTCCCAAGTATAGACATAAAGGTGCCTCAACCTAGAGGCCCAAGATGGCAGTGGCCTAGGAGGACGCTGAACTCAACCAAGTACACACACACATAGAGAGCAATTACCCCAAACAACAGAGGGCTGGGCGAACAGCTTCTGAGTGTGAGAAAGGCTGGGGGGCCGCGGGGGCTCCAGGAGCCTCGGGAGAACTCTGGGCGAGAGGGCCAAGTGGAACTACTTACACCCCCTCCGCCTCCGCAGCACGGTCACCGGGCGCACCTGCCAGGCTGCTGCAGTGAGTTCCCAAACACGTCACTGAGCCCCTCTGATTCCAAACGCAGGGAGCAAGCCCAAGCCACGGACAGTGGATCCCGCCTCCCACTCGGAGCTGCCCGGGACTGGTAGGCCAGGGCCCCGTGTATCTTAGGCACCTGCTTGGCTCCTACCAGCCTGTCGACTTATGAACCAGGAGGTCCCAGTTCCATTCCCGGTCAGGGCACATGCCTGGGTTGCGGACTCGATCCCCAGTGTGGGGCGTGCAGGAGGCAGCCGGTCAATGATTCTCTCTCATCATTGATGTTTTTACTTCTCCCTCTTCCTCCCTTTCCCTCTCTAAACACACACACACACACGGAGGGGATGGTAAAAAATTTAACCCTTGAAAATATACTTAAATTTAAATGCCTTAAGATAGGTTGTAGTCACAAACCAAAAACCTATAAAATACTTTAAAAATAATAACAATAAGGAATCCAAACAAAATACTAAAATAAATAAATAAAAATAAACAGCAAACTACAAGAAGGCATTAAAAAAAAAGAAAGACTAAAGGACTATAAAAACAACCAAAAAACAAAACAACTATTAACAAAGTGGCAATAAGTACATATCAGCCGAAACCGGTTTGGCTCAGTGGTAGAGCGTCGGTCTGCAGACTGAAAGGTCCCGGGTTCGATTCCGGTCAAGGGCATGTACCTTGGTTGCGGGCACATCCCCGATAGGGGTGTGCAAGAGGCAGCTGGTCGATGTTTCTCTCTCATCGACATTTCTAGCTCTCTCTCTCCCTTCCTCTCTGTAAAAAAATAAATAAAATATATTTTTAAAAAATAAATAAGTACATATCAACTACTTTATAGGTAAATGAACTACATGCTCCAATAAAAAGACATAAGATGCTGAATGGATTAAAAACATGCCCCAACTATATGCTGCTTACAAGAAACTCACTTCAAATCAAGACACATTCAGACTCAAAGTAAAATCAATAAGGAATTACATGACAATTAGGTCAGATGAACTTAGTATTTTTTGAACATTTCATCCAAAAGCAGCAGAATACACATTTTTTTTTCAAGTGCACATAAGAAAATATGAGAACATTTTCCAGGAAAGACCACATGTCAGGCCACAAAACAAGTCCCAATAAATTTAAGATTAAAATAATATAAAGCACCTTCTCTGGCCCCCAATGGTATGAAACTGAAAATCAATTATAAGAAGAAAATTGAAAAACAAATATGTGGAAGCTAAATAACATACTAAACAATGAATGGGTTAACAAAGAGATCAAGGGTTAAATAAAAAGATACTTTGAGCTAAAAGAAAATACAATGACCCAATATAGATGGGTCACAGCTAAAACAGACATAAGAGGGAAGTTCATAGCAATAAAGGCCTATATCAAGAAATAAGAAAAATCTCAAATACACAATATAACCTTAAACCTAAAGGAATTAGGGGGGAGGGGAAACAAGCAAAGCCCAAAGTGAGTATAAGAAAGGAAATAATAAAGATCAGAATGGAGCCCTAGCTGGTTTGACTCATTGGATAGATCATTGGCCCGTGAACTTGAAGGGTCCCAGGTTCACTTCCGGTCAAGGGCACATGCCCAGGCTGCAGGCTTGATCCCCAGTAGGGGGCGTGCAAGAGGCAGTTAATCAATGATTCTCATCATCATTGTTTCTATCTCTCCCTCTCCATTCCTCTCTGAAATAAAAACATATTTTTAAAAAAGAGGTCAGAATGGAAATAAACAAAATAGAGTCTAAAATTACAATAAAAAATATCAATGAAACTAAGAGCTGGCTCTTTGAAAAGATAGCCAAAATTGATAAACCTTTAGCCAGATTCATAAAGAGAAAAAAGAGGGCCCAAATAAGAGAGAGGTGACAACTGAACCATAGAAATACTAAGAATTGAAAGAAAAAACTATATCATATGCAACAAATTAGAGAACCTAGAAGAAATGAATAAATTCCTAGGAACATACACTCTTCCAAGACGGAATGATGAAGAAACATAAAATCTAAACAGACCAACTATTAATGAAATAGAATCTGTAAAGAATAAATAAAAACTTTCTCCCTGGCTAGTTTGGCTCAATGAATAGAGCATTGGCTTCTGGACTGGGGGGGTCCCGGGTTTGATTTTGGCCAAGGGCACATGCCTGTGCAGCGTGCAGTAGGCAGCCAATCAATGATTCTCTCTCATTGATGTTTCTGTCTCTATCTCCCTTCCTCTCTAATGTCAATAAAATATATTTAAAACAAACAAACAAACAAACAAACCTCCCAACAAACAAAAGTCCTGGACCAGATGGTTTCAC